TGTAATGAAAAACAAATTTTTATAGATAATGATGGTGTTATGATGATGATTAATGGTGAAATGGTAAAAGTGGAACAACTTCGTAGAGAAGAAATAATAAATTGTACTTGTGGATTTATGGAAGAAGATGGTTTAATGATACAGTGTGATCTTTGTTTATGTTGGCAACATGGTCATTGTAATGCAATAGAAAAAGAGAAAGATGTACCTGAAAAATATGTTTGTTTTATTTGTCGCAATCCATATAGACAACGGTTATCCAAAAGATATTTTCATGATCAAGATTGGATAAAAGAGGGAAAACTACCAACGTTATCTAATCGAACAAAAAATCAGCATCGAGTTAATGAAAGAACAGCTATGTTAAAGCGTTCTTATGATTTAGTTGCAGCACTTTTACAAATACAACAAGTTTTGCACAGTTTAAGAGTGAAAATTAATGTAGCTCAGTAAGTATTATATAATTATGTATTGCAATATACATATCAAATTAAAAAAATTATTAATTATAATTGTAATAAATTATAATTATAACAAAATTATTAATTATAATAAAATTTATATAATAAGAAAAAAAGATCATCCAAAATTGTATCTTTGGGCTAAAAATTGGGAGAAAATTGAAGTATTAAAACCAAATATGACACCAGTACCAATTATGGAAATTATAAAATCAGGAAAAGATTGTACAGATACTACAAGTGAAAGTTCTCATCGAATCGAAATAAAAACCGAAACGAAATTCAGTTTAAAAGATGATCATGATGAAAAATCAATAGCTTCAGATTCAGAATTAATGAAGATATTAGAAGAAGATAATATAACTTCAGATGAGTCTAAAAATACTGGTAAAAAAGAAGACTTTGTACATCAAAATAAGAGTCATATTCTTCTTGATGCACTTACAAAAAATGATACTATTGAAACCAAATATAAAAATTCAATATCTTCAGAAATTAAAACAAATACAGGTAAAAATAGAAAAAAAATCTTAAATCTTTATTTATAATTGAAAAATAGTATTTATTTTTCACATTTAGATTTATTAACCAATCAATCAAATTTATCTGAAAATAATGTATTTATCTCAAATACATTAGCAAATGACATGCATGAGGAAGAAAATGAACATGAAATGTCAACACCGTTACAACCTTTTATACCACAACCAGAAGCGCCAATTGATCCAGGAGAATGCCGAATGCGATTATTAGAACATATAGAACATTTTCAAAAACATATAGATGCAAAATTAACATACATTGAGGCAGAAATTTGTGGTTGGTAAATTTCGTTCAATTTCGTTATATATTATAAAAAAAATTATTTAATATTTAATATATTTTTTTAGCTTTAGAAGCCATGGATCCTGAAGATTCATCTACCTCGGATGTTCAACCTCGAACTAAACAAACAGTTCAAATGCTTGTTCGAGATTTAAACACAGTACGAAAATTAGCTGCTTTGTGTTGAATATTTTTAAAAAATATTTTTAAACAAAATTTATGGAAACATAATTTGCATTTTGTGAAATTTCTGAATTTTTTGAAATTTAAACTTTTATTTTTTGTGATATTAATTATTATGAAAATAATTCTAAATTGATTTAATTGAATTTTAATTAAGATCTCTAATTAAAAATATCATATTGCTATATTTTATATTGTACATATAGTAAATATATGTTAATTCTTATTTATAATGTTATAATAGATATAAATGATAAATTGTAATTATACTGTAAAATAATATTCATTTTATTTTGTGTATAGTTATAACTAAATTACAAAATTATATGTAAGTATACTGTTATCATTATATCAAAATCTTATATTTTCTGAAATAATATGAAATTGTTTTTAAAAGAAATGTTACAAAAAGAAATATATTGTAATAAACATATTCTTTTTATAACATATATTTATTATTTATAACATATAACATATATTATTTTAAATATATTGGAGTGTTTATTTAAATTGTATTAAACATTAATTATTAACGAAAATATTAAACATCATTTTTTTTAATTGTTTAAATATTTCACTTAATTTATATAAAAAAAATTTCATGAAATACGTGATATCATGAAGATAAATCATATTCATTGAATATAATTGAGAAATAGGAATAAAATAAAATGTCAACAAATTTATTTTTTGATTAATTTTATTTTATGATAAGAATATTAGGAAGGGAAGTACTTGCCGCCATTATAGTTTAGCGTGGTGGATGACGTCAAAAAGAGTAGTGATGTACAATCACATAGCACACGAAAACAAAGACGGTGAAAACATTGTCAGTATTAAGAAGAGAGAACAGAAAAGCATGTATGCGCACGCCTAAGAATGAAAAAGATAGTAAGAGGGTGCAAAGGAGGGAGAATAGAGGCGTGCAGCAAGCAGTACGACAGGACGTAGAACGGCCGCTGCCGTGGTGTTTGGGCTCGGCTCGGTTGTGCCGCATCCGTTATGACGATACGATAATCCAGCGCTTAGCGCTGTGACCGTGTTACTTGCCATTATTGACATTTATATTTTATGAAAAATTCAGAAAGAACGTGATGGAGGTTTATTATTTTCTAATTTGATTGGTAGACTGTTTCTTCGTTGATCGTTAGAATTTATTCATACGCCATGTGCCATTGCTCTACGTGTATTTCCTTTCTCTCTGGATCGTACTCGATTAAATTTTCATAAAAATATTCTTTTAACAAGTTTGCCGGTGAATTATTTTAATAAAAATTTCTATTAGTGATCCTAGTGTTTTGTGTTAGTGTAAGTGCAACGAATAATTTTTTCTTTTTATATTTTTAAATTTTTATATGGCTTAAATTGAAAGTCAAAATAAGAACAATAACGGGAAGAATAGAAAAGAGGATAGACGGTGGATTTGCTGAGTTTAAGTAGGAAAGATATCTCATAAGGAGCGCAAGTGGCGTATCAAGATGGCGCATAATTTGGCACCGAGCGTCAACTGTTCGCTCGACGACATTGATCTGAATGCTTTGAAAGTATGTAAGAGTTTTTAATGTATTTTATTTATCAAATATAGATCTAATATTTAAAAGCAACTATTGTTAGAAAGACATAAAAATTACTTTTTATATCCTATATAAACACAAAGACATCATAATTAACCTCATAAGAATAAACGATGATTATTATTTCTTGGTAATAGTATAATATAAAGAAAGAAATGAAAAAATAATTTTTTTAAATTTTTCAAAAATGATATTTCTTATTTGTCAAATTGAAAAAATTCAAAGTTATTTTATTTACAATATTTTTATATCTCATTTACTTCTGTTTTATATAATTATCAAAAAATTAAATCGAACACTATTATGAAAAGATAATATTTAATTTCTATTTAAAATAATAATATAATTAAATATATAATTATATTTAATATTATATTATATTTAAATATATAATTATGATTATGAATTTGTTATTTTAAATATATTTTTTTTTTATCATATTATGATATCATGAATGACATACACGATATATATTGCGGGTGAATATCAATATATTTTCATATACCAATTAAATAAATATACAATAATATACAATATACAAAATATACAATAATAAAATACAATAATAAAACAATAATAAACAATATAATATAATAAAATAAACAATATTTTATATCTGATTTTATATTTGATGTCTTTTAATAAATATATTTTTAAATTAAGAAATATTTAATTATACCCTATAATTTTATTTTTATGATAAATTACTTATTAATATTGGAACAGAATATTATTAAAAATTGTTATATTTACTTAAATATATTTAATTCTTTTTAATTTTTTATTTATTTTATATATAATATTTTATATATTATATATTCTGAAATATATTTTTAACAAAAATATGTGCATATATTATGTTATAGGAACCTGCAGGTATCTTCGAATTAATTGAAGTTGTTGGAAATGGAACTTATGGTCAAGTTTATAAAGTAAGTATATTAAAAAATTTAAACATGTTATATATTATATACATATATTATATAAAAAATATTATATATATATAAAAATTACAAGCAATTTATATAATAAATAATAAAAAATTTATATATATATATGTATATATATGTATATATATAATTGTAAATAAAAGAATGAAAAAAAAATATTAATAAAGTAATAATCATATGTAATAATCAAATATAATATCAATAATCAAATAATTAAATATACACTTCAATAAATTTAATTATATAAATATAATAATACAATAAATTTAATTATATAACAATCATGTTTGTTTAAATCTTAATTTCATATCGTAACATTTAAATTGCTTATAATTTTAAAAAGTGTAACTTTAGATTTTTATTTTATAAAAAAGAATTTTATTTTATTATTTTAAAATAATTATATTGGTAATGTATATAAATATTAGCTAATAATTTATCTCAGTAAGAATATTCAGTTATTGATAAACCAGTATTCAAATCTTTGAATATTATATGTTAATTTTCTTCTCTGTTTGTATTATATTTATTCATAATTTTTAATTTTATTTATTTTTATACACATCAAAAATATTTATAAACTACCATTCATAATTTTTTTGATATTATTTGATATTTATTTGTTAGAATCAAAAAATTTATATTGATGCTATAGTACAAATATTTTTAAGTAGAATAATTAAATGTAATAAGTAAAAAAAAAAATTATATTATTAAATTATATTATTAAGAAGTATTAAAATATTTATCAAATAAAAAGAAATGAAGAAAAATTATTATTTATTTCATTTAATCAATCCATTAGTCAATCCTTGTGTATTGTTATTTTGGTATTGTTGACAATTAAATTTTTTTAATGCATTTTTCAGAATCTCTTTCTGGATAATTTGTAGATAGATATATAATTGTTTTTCTGATTTTTATTTTTTTGATTTTTTTTTTTAATTTTTCGATTTTTTCATGTTTCAATTGGATGTTTTGTTTACTTTTGATATAGTTTTTTCTGCTATCATATGTATGTTTCGTTTATATATCGATTTTTAGCTTTGATAAGTTTTCAAGTACTACAATTGAAATATTAACCTTAGTTATCATTGTTTCATATAAATATATTCTTCTTTCTTTTTTTTAAGCTAGAAGAATATTTATATACATAAATTTTTTCAAAATAAAAGAATGTTAATGTTCTATATATTTTAACATTATTTCTCTTCCTATTATTATAATTTTTTACAAAATTTATTACTAAATTATACTAATAATTATACTAAATTATTACTAAATTTAAAGTCAAGGAAAATTTTGTTTTAATTTTATATTTATTTCCAATAAGTAATGGATAAATGTTAAAAATCTATGAAAAATATCTAAAAAATTGATCAAAGATACTATATAAATTAATATTAATATTAATTAATAATATTAATTAATAAAGATTTTAATAAAAAACGCTAGAGAAAAAAGCTGTTATATCTAAATTTTTTTCTTGATCAATTTTCTTCACATGTAATTCATAGAATAATTTTTATTTATATGCATATATTATGTAAATATATTAAGTATCATACTAAGAATTTAAAAATAATAAATAATTGTTATTTTAATTTATCAATAATAAATTATTGTTCAATAAAAAAATATTTTTACAATTTTCTGATATTTTTGTATGAAATTTGTATGAGAATTTAAATGCATAAATCATATAAAAATATATATTAGTATTTTCAATTTTGTGAAAAAAAGAGTCACAAATTTTAACTAATCAGTCAAAGAAGATAATTATTTATTTCAAAAAATTCATTCGAATTTATCTTTGATGAAATATTTAATTGAAAAAAAAAAAAAAAAAAAAAGAAATGATGCAATGAAAAGTAAATTTTAATTAAAAGGATACAAAAAAATGTATCAGTAATATTACAATATAAAAAACAAGGAGAATTCCAGCAATAATGATGTTACTCTACGTATAAAATTTTTTCATATTTTAAGTTATCATATATATTAATTAACATTTTTATAGTGTACTGATATGAATTGAATTTGGTTGTTTATTTTATGCAAAACTTATAATAAGTAGAATGATACATCTTTAATTTGATTATTATGACATAACTAATCGTGTTGGTCAAAAATTAATTTTTTATTCTTATATATTAACACGAGGACAATATTATGATTCTTATTTTTCGTATATGTGTACGATGATAAAGAACAAGGGGGAATGAGGAAGAGTGCGATGACCTACTATTGATGACGACATAGAACGAATGAAACAGCCACGCGCATGAGTACAAACGATTAAACGCTCTGTTGTCAATTTGTACTCGATTATTTATGTCTTTTATAGAATAATCAGTTAACAAATATTAGGAAAATCACTATGTAAAGTCATATTATTAAGAATCTCATATAATCTTTAAAAATTTATATAATGTATAAATAAAATAATTTTATTTATATATAATATAATATAGATAAATATCATATAATTCAATTTCATCAATAGATTATACTGTTATTATTATTATTATTGTTATTATAATTATTATTATTACTATTACTATTATTATTATTATTATTACAAATGTATTATAAAAATTTATAAAAAAATTACAACATTTGGGCCTTAATGTATTAAAAATATTATTTATGATATACCTAGTCTAGAGATCAAAATGATTTACAAAGCGTATCCACCGATATTCGAGATAAAATTAGCAGAAGGCGTGAAAAATGTGATTCATAGATCTAAGAAACGTATTCTTGCCAATCACAATGAAGGTGCAATGTGGTCTTATCAATATGAAATACATTTGTACGACTAAATGCAATGGTATGGAATGAAATATTCAAATTATTTTATTTATTTTTGACCTTGTATGAATTTGAAGGTCATTAAAATCACATGCTTGAATTTGTTTTAATACGATTTTACATAGTATTTTATATAAAAAATTAAAAATTCATTTCCATCCGTTCATTTATTATTTAATGATATAAAAATAATGATTATAATAATGCGAATATTTCGTATAATATGATAATGTAAATTTTATCTTTTATATGTTACTAAAATAAAATATCGATTTTTTTTTTTTTACCTTTTTTAAGGTCATTTATTTTATCTCATTTTAAAAATAAAAATTACCGTTTGAAAATGAATTTTCTTTAATAATGGGTATACTTTCAAATTATTTTCATACGACATTTCATTTTTCTTATTTTTTTTTTTTACATTTGATTTATATTTTCATTTTCTTCTTTTTATGCGGATATATTAATGATTATTGAATATTTGTTGAAAAAAAAATTATGGACAAAGACTTCTTATTTATATTGTAAGTAAATTAAATTAGTTTCTAATATTTTCGATCGTATTATAGTAGGTAATTACTGGCACATTAAAAGGAAATGTTTCTCCTCATTCATAAGGATGAAATTCTTTGTCGATTCCGTGTGGGAACATATTGCTGTAGCTCTTTTTGTTCCCATAGTTTTCTTCTTAAATGAGATACGAATTTAACATAATTTTTGCAATGAATGTGACTTGTTTCCAGTGCCTCATTCTTCATCAGATATACAATGGCTGCAAAAAGTAAATATCGTGTTGTGTATATCTTTATTTTCCAACGAAGCGTTTCACTTCAAAACTTACGTGTCGATAAAAATAGTAAAGCAAATTATCGAATAATAATGATTTCTTCGATTTCTTTTTCTTTAGATGTCATTATTCATCGAAGAATGCATTTTTTTTTCTTCCGCTTCGAAAACGAATCGCATTTTTATTAAATTATTATTAAAAAAGAAAAAAAATCTTAATTACTTCTTCTGATAATTCCATCCAGTTTTATTCAATATTTGCACGAAACGTTAATAAAAATTTAATCATATAGGAAAATAATATTTCACGGTATATTTTCGTATAAATTGTAGATTATTCCTATCTCTTTTATACTCTCACTTTTTATTCCATTTTTTTCCATTTTTAAAATTAATTAATCGTACATATTCGCACGTATACTTCCGATCTCTTCGTTTCTTCTCTCCGTTTATTATATTGCGAAACTTTTCACGATTTTTCGTTATTCACATTGTTTATCTTACTTCACATGTATTTTCTTCATTGATACGATCACGATGGATCCCCTCCTGTTACACGGCCCCCAATTCTGTTTAAAAGCATAAAAGCGGCTTGTAATCGAGGATGATGCAAATCTCAATGGAAATTTTGCTATGTTTCTTGTTGATATTTTAGAGAATATATTTTAGGCATTGGCGCGTCGTAGAGGCATCGTTAATTCGAATTCGTCCGCTATTTCGAGTTCTATTCTGAAATATGTATCTATAACTCGCGATAAGAGGTAATTTACGGGGTACGATGAAGGTACGGGGGCGGAGTTGGGAATGCAGATAGATATTTGTTGATCGAATTAACACGATATTGAAGAAAATTTACAGAAAGAGAAAGTGATATGAAATATTAGTTAAATTGAGTTGACAAAAATAAAAATTAGAAAAAGATAAATGAATTAAATGGATGATATTTCCTAGAATGTAAACGAAGAATGCTTTTTATTCATTTTAATTATAAGGATAAATTATATGTAATTCAATTTTTTATTTTATTTCAGGGTCGACATACCAAAACTGGTCAATTGGCAGCCATTAAAGTTATGGACGTCACAGAAGTAAGTAATTTTCATTAAAATATAATTATATCTCTAACCCTATAGATCATTGATAGATTTAGAATCCTCAATCAGAATCCTCTTCTAGAGAGTTGTTTTTTAAAGAATAACATTTTTAGTTGATGATTTTGTACTCTTTTTTAAATTTTTTTTGTTATATGTAGGAGAAAGAGAAAGAGAAAGCCATTTGAATATTAAAAAAAGAGAAGTATATCTAGATATAAATCATCATAGATAAAAAATACTTTTTTACTAAAACTATCTTCTTCAAAAATTTCATCAAATTGCTGCATCCTTGAATGCTTTTCCTCATGAGAAATTATAAATATTGATTATATTAAATCAAACAATTTATTAGAATTTTATAAAAATTCTGGCCACCATGATACGACATTATAATTAACGTTACTTAAAATAAAATAAAAGAACATATATCTAATTAATTAGATCCATTCGCACGCTTCATTTCGCTTTCTTTCTTTTGTTCAAGTTTTCTGCAACGGTAGGTCATAGTAATTGTATAATAATAGCTATATATTTCATGCATCACCACACTTCTTACAAGTCTATGTATCACTATTTATATTTTTTATTATGATTAATCATTTAATTAAGTTTTAAAAATTGGTGAGATCATACGTGTATCTTTGTCATTATTCTTGTTATTATTATTTTCTAGAACGGATGTGAACAAGATAATAATATTTATCTATTTTCATTGCAATTCCTTATCTGATAAATGTTCCAGTTTTGATAATCTCATCGACTTTCTTCTTTATTATAAAAGTTTATTGTAAATGAATCACATCATAATTGATGGATTTAGCTTAAGAATTTAACAACATTAAAGTCATTCAAAAACCATAAAGATGACTATGATTAATAAATGATAAATATTTGGTTTATTAATTATCCACAAAAATCTTGATATATTCCATATAAAAATTGAAATAAAATTCTATGTAATTTGCAAGATTTGTATATAATATGCTAAGAATTAATTTATTATTGCGTTATATAAAATTAATAAATAAGTATATCATGACTATGTATAAACATGAATAAAATATAAATTTTTAATAAAAATAATCTTTTTATAGGATGTATGAAAATTTTTGTGAATTACTTATTAATCTCTTAAATACAAAGAACAATATGATTATCGTATTCTGATTATTGTAAACAAAGGATCGACGATAATATATCAACTTTTAAATCAATGTATTTTAGAACGTGTTTTTTAGAAATAGTTGCATTGAATGAGGGAAACAGAGAAATAGAGGAGGAGAGAATGTGCGAGAATGCAAGGATAAATGATTGCGAAGAATGCGTGCACTAGTCAGTTGAGAAAGAGTTGGAAATGAGAGTAAAGTTAAAAGAGAGAGAAAGAAAGTTTGCAGAGAGTTGAGTTGTTTTAAATGAGATTTCTTATGTTCAATTTTTTTTATTGTATTCTTAATTTATCATTAAATATACATAAATTTTATTATTCCATTCAATATTAATTATTGAATTTGTTTGCATTTGTTTCCATTTTTGTTTGCAAATATTTCTATTTATATTATCTTGTCAGATAAAAAAAAAGATTAGAATATTAATAAATATAATATTAATTTCTAGTTAAAATTATTCAAAATTCTTTTTATCTATTATTTTCACGCGGCTAGATTATCATGACAAATTCCTTTGTGGTTAGTCAAATTAATTTATTTAACAGATTTATATGTAATCATTATAAATACATCTTTTCATTTTATTTTAATAAATTAGTTATTAGTTATTAATATTTATAATTAGTTATTAATAAACGACCTTTTGCAGATTTGCTAATTCAATACAATACAAGATATAGTAAAATTTTTTTAATTTTGTACTTAATTCATTTCAGATTATTTCAATGAAGAGGAATTCTTTTCATTATCTAATCTGATCATCGATTATCTTCTACGAAATCATATTTCTCTTTATATTTATGAAAAAGAGGGATGTAATCTGAGTGAACACGTAAGGTAGGGTGACTCAGGCTTTCAGGTTATAGTTGACCTGGCTACGATGCTTGTAAATGAAGTTAAGTTATGGAAAATCGGAAAAGGAAAAAAAAGAAAGCGTTTCTCATCCTACCAATGCACTCATCAGTAAGGATTCTTAAAATCCCATAACTCAATGTCATAAATCCAATGGTTCCCAAATTTGTGAGTCATGATCTCTGAATATGTTAAAAAGTATTTCTTTTTTTTTTAATTAACAATTTTTAGTAGTTACTAATTTTAGTAGAAATATAATAATATATGCATTACTATATTTTACAGAAATATCAAGGTGATCCTCTCGATTTTTCTTACTTTGTATGAAAGAAAAGGGGGTCGTAAATTATTTGAATATTACAAAAAGAAATCGTAACTTGAAACAAGTTGGGAAACATTGATATAAATGCTTAGGAATTTTCTTTTTTCATGATTCGGATATTTGTTCTTTGTTAATTGGGATAATCATTCATTTTTTTATCCATTTTCTGATTCGTTCTTTTTGTATTTTAGATAATTTATTATTTTGCGACATTAGATGGATATCTAATCTAATTAGATATATCTGTTTGTTGCAACAGATTAATATAATTGTGTAATATATTGATTTTAATCGATTTAATAAAAATGATAAAATTGACATATGTAATGGTAATTAATGATAATTTATTTTGTAAATTTTTGAAAATAAAAATGTTCAAAATATATTTAAATATAAAAATTTAATCAAAGAATCAATAATTTTCTTATCAAAATTATTCTATTTTGAGAAGAATATCTTGCAATCTATATAAATTTTATCTAATATATGCCTTTGAAATTTTAAAACGACCTTTGACTTTTCAATAGATTATATGCTTTCATTTAGCTATGCGCCTAACCATTCCAAGAAGAATTCATTGACCTAGAATATGTTGGTCTTTCAAGGTCGTTCAAGGCTATTTGAAGTAGTTCAGTGTCGTTCAAGGTGGTTCAGGGCCATTTCAAGTGGTTCAAGGTTATTCAAGGTTGCTGCTTGTATACTAAGTAATAATTTAATTCACAAGTGACAATTGTTTTATTATCTGGTTGCGGTTGGAAAATAATAATAAGGTTTTTGGCCTTATGATGATTGTTTCTTGGAAGACAATAAATACGTTTGATTATGTAATTTCAATTTATTTTTTATATTACAAACAATTTAATTTTTGTAATTATAAAAGTTTCACACAAATATATATATATATATCATAGAAATATTTTTACAGATATATTTTTATAGAGCTTCAAAAATTAATAAAAACAACTAATATAATTCTTAACTAACTATTATAAAATGATTAATAATAAGAATGATTAAGATAATTCTGAATTATTTATATTGAAAATTAATCAATTTTTATTATTATTTGTTTTAGGATGAAGAGGAAGAAATCAAATTAGAAATTAATGTATTAAAAAGGGTGAGTATTGAATATTGTTGGCTTTAAATAGAAGTGGAAAAAGAACAAGATGAAATTGTTTATATTTTATCATATGTTACAGTATTCGAATCACAGAAATATAGCAACGTATTACGGTGCCTTCGTGAAGAAGTCATCACCAGGAAAAGATGATCAGTTGTGGTTGGTTATGGAATATTGCGGAGCTGGCTCCGTTACAGATCTGGTCAAGTCAACTAAAGGCCAGAGTTTAAAGGAGGAATGGATTGCGTATATATCGCGGGAAATATTGAGAGGACTTAGTTATCTTCACAGCAATAAAGTTATACACAGGGATATTAAAGGGCAAAATGTTCTATTAACCGATAATGCTGAAGTTAAACTTGGTGTGTTTTCAATGCCTATTAAATATTAAAATCTTTATTAAAATAATAATAATTAATATTTCAATTTAATATATATATATTTTTATTTTTATTTTATATATATTTTTAATTTATATATTTTTAAAACTATGTTTTAATATTAATCTCATTATACCGTAGTTGATTTTGGCGTTAGTGCACAATTAGATCGGACAATAGGTAGGAGAAATACATTTATTGGAACGCCATATTGGATGGCTCCAGAAGTAATAGCCTGTGATGAAAATCCTGATGCTACATATGATAACAGAAGTGATCTTTGGTCATTGGGAATTACCGCTTTAGAAATGGCTGAATCACAACCTCCACTTTGCGATCTTCATCCAATGCGGGTAAGTATCTGAAATAAATATAAATATCCTTCACAATTATTGTATATTACTATTCTGTTTTAAAAGGGTGAAATTTAATTTTATTGATTATGCTTAATTCACACAAAAGGCTTTATTTCTGATCCCACGTAATCCACCACCAAGACTCAAATCGAAAAAGTGGGCGAAGAAATTCCACGGTTTTATTGAAACGGTTTTAGTAAAAGATTATCATCAAAGGCCGTATACGGAACAACTCCTTAAACATCCATTTATTCGGGACCAACCAACGGAAAGACAAGTTAGGATACAACTTAAAGATCATATTGATCGCTGTAAAAAGCGTAAACAAGAGAAAGGTAAAAAAAAATCTATTGAAAAATATTTTAAGAAGTTATTTATAAGCAAAATTTTTAATAATACTTTTTTATTTATATTTTATTATATAGAAAGAGACGATTATCGGTATAGTGGTAGTGAGAATGAAGAAGATGAACCAGCATTAGCTGGTGAAGCATCATCCATTGTTCAAGCACCTGGTGGTGATACATTGCGTAGGAATTTCCAGCAAATTCAGGAAGGTAGAACTTTAACTCAAGAAGTAAATCCTCAACCACCTGCTGCTAAAGAAAAACCCAGTAGCAGAGCTCAAAGAGATATACCAGAGCCAGGACCACCTGCACGACCTGCCATTCCACACAGATTAATCGGTGCGTTTAATAATATATCATTAATTAATTATTTTTAGCCTGAGTATATACATTTTATATATAATACATTTTATATATAAAATTGCTGTTGATATAAAGTTGTTATTAATTCTAACAACGAATCGGATTTCTTAAATGTTACATATTTATTTTGCGCTGTATAGTAGTTCCAGACCCACAACCACCATCTCGGCCATTACCTCCAACACCTAGAGATGATCCACGACAACCTCATAAAGTTTCGACACCACCCTCTAATCATCAACCTCTTATTGGTGGAGGCGGTAGTGGAGGATCCGGTGGACAATCAGCATCACAAAGAAACAGTCATGTTTTTAAACCTATGGTAAGTTTTTATTGTTTTTTATTTCTCTCTATTTCAGTATTGCAACTTCTCCTTTCGCACTTATTTTATGCCAATAAAATATATAAAATGAGTCATTTATCGTTAGAACTGTTCATGATAATTATTCTTTTAGGAAATATCTTTTTTTTCAGATATTTATTAATGTTATTAAGATTAGTGAAATAGCAGATTCTAACATTGAATGATTCAATCTAATTTATAAAAATCGTAGACAAGCACATGCTGTTTTTACCCTACTTTGCCTTCTTGCTGCCTTTCATTAA